AAACATTTTGCTTCACAGAAGCTCCTCTCTGGTAGTTAAAAGTAATGAAAGGCTGGCTAATACACATGGCCATCCCACATTGAGTCTCCTAGCCTGTCCTGATAGAGAAATTGCTTAGTTTGACTTTAACATTGTGGGTGGGAAAAGTTAACAAAAAAAAAAGAAGAAGAAGAAGAAGAAGACTTGCTTCCTTCATCCTGCATTCCCTGAACTTGAGGGTTCCTGTAACCCCATGACCATGCCCGCTGTGACATATATAAGTTAGACAGAAATGCATCTCCATTTTCAACAACTCAGAGGTGATTCCTCAACAATTTCTGGTAGTTTGTGCTACCCATTCTGCACACTCTTGCCAAGGTCAACTAGAAAACAGGCCCTTGTGACCCAAAGTTGCTAAAAAGCATGCTTGACAAATTGAGTAATGAGTCAATCAATAGGAAAAATCAAGTCAGTGGTGGCCCTGCTTCTGAAAGGACAGAGCAGGGGTCATGTGCTACTGAGGGAGTGGATTGTGAAGGAGGTGCTGGGGCCAGCGTCCTGGGGCCTCGGCTGCAGGGTTCGAGCTCAGTGAACTGAGGAGCTCTGTCATGCCCAAGAACATCAAAGCTTGAAGCACAAAGCAACATTTGTGCTGCACTCTTGGAATGAACTCCACTGAAGTAGCTCGCGAAGAGTGACATTGACAGTGCCAGGCACAAAATCCAAGGTCCCAGAACCGGTGCCTCCACTGATCACCCTGCAGATCCTGTATGGTGCTAAAAACAAGAGGCACCGCTTCAGAGAAAGCAGGTATGCTGGGAAACTAAGAGCAGGAGGACAGAGCACAGTGCAGACAGAATTAGCATTGAAAACATGCTTGTTCCGGGTCATGAGACAGAGCTTGGAGCAGAGGTATAGGAAATAACGTTCGCTCAGATGTCTAAGAACACGTGTAGTTATTCATTTATTGATTAGCTCCTAGGTGCCAGGCACCAGGTTGGGCAGCAGGGCACACTGGCAGAGTCCCTAAAGGAATGAACAGCCTATTGAGAGAGACAGATGTGAGCCAGCAACTGTGAAACAGTGGGATAGGAGCAAACACATGCAGTTGTGTGATGCTAAGAGATGGAAGGGAAGCTAAAACAGAAACCCAGAAGCACAGACAAGCTTTTGTTCTTCTGGGGACTTCAAGGGAGCTAGGTATGGTGGCGGAGGTCCTTGAGAAAGAGGAAGTTCCCCAGAGGTGGGAGGTGGGCAGTTTGCAAGAGACACAAACTTGACCTGACTGCTAGGCGACTAGGGTGAACTTCGCAGTTACTTAGCTAGTAGGGGACCACACCCAACACCTGGCCTGTGTGCCCGAGGACAGCTTTTCTCTCCTCTATTTATTGACATGAATGCAGTAATTCTCTTACTGCAATTAGTTTTTCTTGGCAGAGTCAGCAAAATAGAGTTCATCAGGAAAAGACATAAGGAAGAAAGAGTTTATCTGAATAGCAAATTTTTTAAAAATGGCTTTAGAAATTACTGTGGCCAGGCCCGGCGCCGTGGCCTGGTGGCTCAAGTCCTCACCTTGAATGCACCAGGATCCCATATAGGTGCTGGTTCTAGTCCCGGCAGATCCACTTCCCATCCAGCTCCCTGCTTGTGGCCTGGGAAAGCAGTCGAGGATGGCACAAAGCTTTGGGACCCTGCACCCACATAAGAGACCTGGAAAGACATTCCTGGCTCCTGGCTTTGGATCAGCGCAGCACTAGCCGTTGTGGCCACTTGGGGAGTGCTTTCTCTCTGTGTATATCTGCCTTTCCAATGAAAATAAATAAATCTTAAAAAAAAAAAAGAATTACTGTGGCCCCCTGTTTATGGAGCTATTAAGAGCAGGAGAGAATGCCTTACATTTTTCAGTTATGTTTTATGGTGGAAACTGTATGCCACAACACTGCTGATATTGAAGACTCACCTAGGTTCTCCAAACACCTTCAGAGGATGTTAAAGGGTCCAAGTGTGTGGCTAGTGAATTCCACTTTATTGGTGTTCAATTGGATATTACAGTGTCTTCCAATTTGAAAATGAAGTCTCATTAACATGATTTTCCTGTGATGAGGCCACCACAGTTCATGGGGGCTTCGCAGGGTCATCATCGCAGGATCTTTACGTCCTGAGCTGCAACCTGACAAGTGGCTCAAATGAACAAAGGTAATAACCACATCTCTTGTTGAAATGATTCTATTTTGGTCTATTCCTTGCAACCTGACATCTATTAAAGCACAAACTTGGGCCGTTTTCCCAAAATATCTTCGAGGCACTTCCAGCCTAACTTGACTGCAGCCACAGCCTCAACCTCATTTTCCCTCTGCCTCCTAAGGGCGCCTGTACTTGATTACTGAAGCCAGAGTTTCTCTAGATCTTCCCCTGCCAGCCACCCTGTTAGCAAAGTAAATCAATTTTGTCTCCTAAAGGTTCTCCCCGACACAGCCAGGCCTCTGAGCACCACAGCACTGCCCTGGCTCACAGCCACAGCATCAGTCAGCACAGTATCCTGAGACTCCGCCTCCTCTATCCTACACACACACACACACACAGAGGATTCTTTTGGAAAAGGCAAATCTACTGAAGATCCAGCAAGCAGCCCACTGCCATCTGACTGCTGGACAGTACCGCTGAAGCCCACGTCCACACACACAACACCCTGAGAAACACCTTGACTGTGAGCTTTCTCCCTCTAAACACACCACGTCCCCTGAGACCTCGATGTAGGCGTCCACCCTTCAGCCATCTTCACCCCTGTCTCCCTGAAGAGTCTCAATTAGTCCTTCAGATTCCAGTCCAAGAGTTACTATCACAGAAGATAACCCCGGATGTATACCTCTCCTCCGGGCATCCGCGGCCCTGGATGTATGCCTCCTGAAAGCGTTGCTCAACTTGCTAACAGATTTTTTTTCTCCACACTACAATGCTTGGCTCATGCTAGGCAGTGTTTGGTGAGTGAAAAAAAAAAAAAAAAACAGGTGACAGAGGGCTGTAGGACACGAGGAGACACACACACCATCCAAAGGGAAAACCACCCCCTGGTTAACTTTATATAAAGTGAATCAAGGTGTCAGAAAAGTTAAAACAAGGATGAAGAGCGCTTTTAGATCTGCACCAATTTTTAAATTACTTGTCACATCTGTCTGAGCTAAAGACTAACCCCGGCCGCCTCCTGGGGCCTACTAGTCCGAATTTCATGCACCTGGGCACTGGATTCCGCAGCCATCCTTACAGGATCACAGAGTGCTTTAAAAGAAGTCACCGCCTTTGAACATACAAGTGTAAAGAGATGCCCGGGAGAAGCAGCTGCTCAATTATTTTTCCCTGTTTGGCACATCAGATCACAGTCACCGACACTACAGTGGCCCCATCACACACAAAGGTCTGTATTTGCAGCCGCAGCTTCCATGGCACCACTGAAGCGAGGCGGGCCTTTGTTCATTCATTCATTCTCAGGCAAGGTTGGGCTGCCACTCCGGGCCACTCCCTGTGCGGAACCAAAGCCAACCCAGATCCCTGCGTGTTGGGCTTTCTCTAGAGAAGATGGATTAGCACACATGACTTGGATTATGAAGCAGATGCCACTTAATCCTGCCTGGCTCTGTCAGTGACCTCAGGCTCGCCCTGTGCCCTGCAGGCCTTGGAGAATCTCAGAAAAATCACCAAAGCTTTTTAATGACAGCTGGGCGATGGTGTTTGGGCACCAGCCGCCTTGGGGCGCAGGGATACTCAGGGCACAGCCCCCACAAGCCCATCCTGCTCCCAGTTCTCTCCCGTGTAGTGCTTTGTTCCAAAGCCCGTTTCCTAGGGACGAAAGGGTGCGGGTGTGTGAGCAGGTGGGGAGCAAAAGCTGAACTTGTCCTAGAACCAATACGTCGGCATTCTACAGACTTGGATTCTGGGAGCGCCCTCGCTAAACACAGCGCTGGGACGCCAAGAAGTCAAAGTCTGCGGAGGCGCCCACACTTCAGTCCTCCTCCTGTCACTTAGTGGCACTAGCTGTGTTCTTGGATGAGGACCACTCCCACGTCAACCCGAGCCACTCCACCGCCCCCAAGCGTGCCCGAGCCCCTGTCCGGATGCCGGCTTCTCAGCTCACTGTGGACAGCGCCGCGCCCCGCGGGGCTGCCCTGGCCGGTCCCCGGCCCCAGGCCCGGGTGCGCACCCCGTGCCCCGCCCCGGCCCCACGTGCCGGCATCACCCGGGCGCTGGCGGCCCTTTAAACACCCCCTTCCTCCTCACACACGGCCCCCCACCCCCGACCCGGACGGCAACCGGAGAGGGACAAAACTCATGGCGTACGGCCAGCTTCCTCCGCGGAGCGCGTCCGGGACAGCCCCAGCCGGCGGGGTCCTCCGGCCCCAGGTCACCGCCCCCTGGCGCCCCGCGGTTCGGGCTGCGGGCCTCGGGGAGCCCGGGCGCGGTCCGGCTGCGGGGCGGGGCCGGCGGGAGCGCGGAGCCGGCCGCCGCCGCTGCTGCCTCCGCCTGCCGCGCGGGCCGCCCGCTCGCCCGCCGCTGGGTGCGCTGCACGCGGGGGGCAGCCGCGGTGCAGAGGTTCATGCAGCGGCGGCGGCGGCGGCTGCTGCTGCTGCTGCTGCTGCGGCCGCCGCGGAGGCAGACAGACCAGGCGCTGCCGCTGCCGCTGCCGCCGCCGCCCTCCCCCGGCTCCATGCCGCCGCCGCCGCCCCCACCTCCTCCTCTTCCTCCTCCTCCTCCTCCTCCTCCTCTCCGGCGAGGGGCGGGGGGCTCCGGCCCCGGGTGGGCAGCACTCTTCGCAGCGCCGCTCCCCTCCCTGCCCTCCGCCTGGGCGCGGGAGCCGGCGAGAGCGCCCGCCGCCTCCTAGGGGCGCACGCTCCACGCGCCCTGCCCGAGCGAGGGGGCGGGCGTGGGCGGGCGGGCGTCGGGGCAGCGGCGACCCGGCGCGGCGGCCGGAGGAGGGGGCTTCCCCGGAGAATGCCCGGCGGCCACTGCTCCCTGCTCCCCGGTACGAGCTGAGCCGGACCGCGAGCGAACGAGCAAGCGGCGCGGCACGGCGCCATGCCGGCCTGACGGGCGCCCCCCGGCTGCCCGCGCGGGCCCCCGCGCTGCCCCGCGCCGCGTCGCTCCGCGCCGGCGCCGGGCGGCAGGATGGGCTGTATCCAGAGCATCACCTGCAAAGCGCGGATCCGGCGCGAGAACATCGTGGTGTATGATGTGTGCGCCACCATCGACCAGTGCCCCACGCGCATCGAGGAGACCTCGCCCATCGTCCTGCGCTACAAGACCCCCTACTTCAAAGCCTCGGCCCGCGTGGTCATGCCCCCCATCCCCCGCCACGAGACCTGGGTGGTGGGCTGGATCCAGGCGTGCAACCAGATGGAGTTCTTCAACACCTACAGCGACCTGGGCATGTAAGCTACCGGCCGCGCGGCGCCCAGTGGGGTCCCGGCCCCCCAACCCTTCTCATTCCCCTCCTCGGTCCCAGTCCTCTTTCTAAATCTCCCTCCTGACTCCCCACCCACCGCCCCCTCCCTGCGCTTTTGTTTCGGTGACAGGGCGGGTGTAGGGAGGCTCCTCGCGGAGGCATTTTTTTTTCCCACTGGTTTGCTTCTGACTTCCCAGACACGAGGGGAGAATGCTGGGGAGGAACCCGACGCCAGAGGGCTGGAGAGGTGGGGGGTCGGCGTGGCTGGGAGTTTGGGGGCGTCGTTTGATCTTTGTAGGGCTCCCCGGGAAGAGTTTGGAGGGAACCGTAACGAGGGGAGTGGCCCGCCGTGCCGGGGACACATGGGCTGTGCCGCGTGTGTCCTCTGGGGAAACCAAGAGCGATCTTGCAAGGGAAGGTTCCCGGCGTCCGAGTACGAGTTGGTGGTTCTGTCCTTGCCCCATCTCGGTTGTTGGATTCGAGCTAGCCCTGGTCCCCGGGGAGCCTGCAGGCGCTGATGTTTAGAACCGCAAGCCTGGCAGAGCCGCCTGTGCTGCGCGTCCTCGGGCCGAGGTCTGGAGCGGTGGGCGGCTGGAAGTCACCGGGCGCGTCCCTGTGGAGCAGGGATTGTTGCCCGCGTTCGCGTAGCTTCTGTCTGGCCCCGCGCGGGTTGCTACTGGCACGCTTGGAAAGGACGGATGTCTTGTCTGTCTAGGGTCTTTACTTTTCAAAACTTTCGTAATTGCGCCGCTGGAAGGGATTCCCTGTCGCCCACCGCCGAGTCCTGTCGGAGAACTAGCTGGGAGCTCTCCAACTTCCTTCAGCAGTGCCGGTTGGTGCGCGCCGCCGGGCAGCTGCGATGGAGACCTGGGTTCCTTTGCAGCTTCCTCGGCCGCCAGGGGCCGATAGCCGGCCCCGGGATCCGCAGGCTGTGGACCATCTCGGCCCAGACTTTATTTACCAAATTTTCATAACTCCCTGCCCGGTTCATTTCGGAACTAGAAGTGGCGGGCAAACTGGACTGGCTCTTGGGCCTGGGGCTTGCTCTGCCGGCTGTTACAATGTAGATCTAGAACACCTGAATTAGCCTACGGCCTATAGGGAAACCCTTTTTGTGGAAATTCAACCTCCTTTCACTTTATTAATCGAAAACTAGAGCTCCCCAGGTTCACCTATTTAATATGGATATGGGATGGGGGGAGTGCTCGTTTGAAAAGGTCAGACCATCTTTTCAGCGGGTGCTGGCAGGCTTTTTATTGGGCTCTGGGAGACATAAGTTAACACTAGTCAGAAGTGCTAAAAGGAATTTTAACAGGTCGTTTTGCTTCCTTTTCCTTCCCAAGGAATTTGCACTTTTCTCTTTAAAGCATAAAAAGCTCAGTGCTGGAGAAAGCTCCCTCCTGGTGAACCAATGGGAATCTGAGTTTCCAGTGTGCCTTTGCACACTGTGTTCTTGCCTGTCCTCGAGACAGGGAGATGTAAACCACGGGGGACATATTAGTGTGGGTGAATCACGCCGTGGGAAAGAGGACACACCCTCCCAAGAAGGGTTGTAAGCTGTTGCCGGTGCGCATGTGTGTGTAAGACCACCCTGTCTTCCCAGCCCAGGGCAGGGAAAGCCTCAGTCAGGGCACCAGCCTTGCCTCTCTTCCCGCTGACCTCTCCTTGGTGGAAGATCTCAGCTGCCTGGATGGCTGCTGGAGGCTCCTGGACAGGTGAAACTATGGCAGTGACAGTGTCACCTTTCCAAGACTGCACTGCGGGATTCTGATGCCTCTGCTCTTTGGTGACTTCGTAAATAGGAAGCAAACAAGTCTTTCTTTCTAGAAGACATGTATTACTTCTGGAGCAGTCCATCTCAGAGGCAGACAGACATGGGAGCTAAACTTCCTTGACATCTGTAAGAGAGCGTGCTCACAATGGAGCTAGCTTAAGACGGCCTGAATCGGTGCGCGTATTTGCCTGGATCATCTCCCAGCAAATTCTTACGTTTAAACTTGTGCAGTGTTTGCTTTTTTTAAAAACTCACTTTCAGGGCATAAAGGAGCTTGACTTTGGTGTTGATGCAGAGGAGGAAACATCCCACCTCAGATGTTATAAAACCTGTTCTTAGAGTTCCATGTCCAGAGTCGGCTTCCCTCTTCATGGTTGCAATAATTGCTGCGTGTTTAAGACCACTAGGAGCCCAGGTTTTATTGAGCCAATTTCCACAAGACGTTTCTGCCCTGAAAACTTGGCCAATGTCAACTTTCTAATGGAAGCTCATGTTGCATGAGCACTCGGGCCAGCTTGCATTTCTTGTGCCCGATTTTGCTAGTTCCTGGAGTGGAGGAGACATACTACAAGCTGAATTTTCACTTTGGTGTAGAATTCCATCACATGCATCATGATGTGGCAAAGGTTAAAAAGCACCTTCTCAATTTTTTTCTTTCTTTTTTTTTTTAAGACTGCATCAGAGGAAATCCACAACTTGAAAAGGGAAGAGTATCTACAAGGTTGAAAGAAAACCCAAGCTTTTGTGGTTTTGGTTTCATACATTTCCAAGAAGAGGTAGGGGGTTCTAAAAGAGCATTGAAATATTTGGTGGTTAGAGCTGCGTGTGGACTTGAGCTCAAGTGATTCAGTACCTTCCTCAGCTGACTCTGTACAAAGCAGGCTGGCAAGTACTTGAACCCACCTATATGCATTTCTCATGCGGCCCTGGCGAGTCCTGCTGGCATTAAACAGACAGTTCTCCATCTTCTTCCTTTGGCAGGGAGGGCTTCTTGGCTTGTCTCAGTCAATTTCAGCAGTAAACAGATATTTACCATGTTCCCTGGATAGTACAGGCGTCAGCAAAGTAAACAAAGAAATATGCAGGAAGCCTTACAGACCTCCATCTAGGGGATGTGGACTCAAACAGAAAACCAGGGTTCCTAGGAATGTGGGAGAAGGTTCTGAGAGAGGTAGGGGACTGGGCAGGGCTTTCTTTTCTTTCTTTTCTTTTTTTAAGATTCATTTGCTTTTATTGGAAAGTCAGATTTACAGAGAGAAGTAGAGATAGAAAAATCTTCCATCTGCTGGTTCACTCCCCAAGTAGCTGCAGTGGCTGGAGCTGAGCTGATCCAAAGCCAGAAACCAGCAACTTCCTCCAGGACTCCCACGCGGGTGCAGGGGCCCAAGGCTTTGGGCCGTCCTCGACTGCTTTCCCAAGCCACAAGTAGGGAGTTGGATGGGAAGCAGGGCCTCCAAGATTAGAACCAGCACCCATATGGGATCCCAGTGGGTGCAAGGCAAAGACTTTAGCTGCTAGGCTACTATACCAGGCCCCAGGATTTTCTTTTTTTAGAAAGATTTTTTTTTTTTATTTATTTTGAAGACAGAGTTAAAGAGAGAGGAAGAGGTGTGTATATAAAGTGGTGTGTATATAAAGAATCTGCTGGTTCGCTCTCCAAGTGACTACAATGGCTTGGGCTGGGCCAACCAAAGCCTAGAACTCTTCCCAAGTCTCCCACATGTGTGGCAGGGGCCCAGGCAGTGGGCTCATCCTCCCAGTGCCTTCCTAGGCACATTAGTGGAGAACTAGACCAGACGTGAAGCAGCCAGGACTTGAACCTACACCCATAGGGAATGCAGGTCTTGCAGGTGACAGTGGCTTAACCCTCTGAACCACAAAGCTGGGGCCGTGGGCAGGTTTTCTACAAGTGAAAGGACTCGAGCTGGACTCCACAGGGCAGACAGCATTCAGCTAGGTCGCACAAGGGGCTTATTGCCCATGGGAGAAATCATACCTGGAAGAGCTGTTTTCAAGGGGACAACGGTGGTTTGGAGGGGAGCATCCACGGAAGAGATGGGACTGAGATGTGTGGGCAGTTGGTAAAGGGTCACTTGCTCTGAGCCCACGTCTGTGGCATTCTGGAGTTGTGAGGCTGGTCAGTTCAGGAGTGATGGTGGCAGCTCTCAGCTGTGGACACTAGGGACTGCAGGGGGCTGCCCACTCCTCCCCTTCAGAAGCCAACTCCTGCCTGGCTTTCCTCCTGAGCCAAACTCATCAAGGGATTTGACTCCACCTCTTGACCTGTTCCATCCCCTCCAAGTGGCTTGCTGTTCCAGAACCACTCTTGCTAAGTTCTGTGATTTGCATGTTGCCAAGTCCAGCGGCACTTTGGGGAACTACCTCTTCTGTGGTTTTCCATGTAAGTGATCCTCTCTGTCTTGCATCGTACGCACATTTTCACGTTCATGTTCTTTTTCCAGCTCTTTCTCCATCACTATGTTACTTCAAAACATAGTGTAGCAGGACCTTTTTCTTTATTGTGTCCCCTCCCTTGCTCGTTTAGCCAGCTGCGGTGGCCGGGTGTGTCTGTGGGGTTTCTATTTGACTCACTGGCAGGCGTCTCAAAGCTGACCTCAGGCTCTCCACAATGCCACCTCCCCCCCATTCCTTGAGATAACACCTCCTCTGCCTGGGTTCCTCAAACTCTGAATAGCTGTGTGTCACCCGCGGCAGGTCCACACATGCGCAGTTCACCCCCAGACCCTGCTGATCCCACCTCCAAGGTGGGAACAGGTCAGCCAGCCACCACTTTCTTACTTCTGCTGCCACCATCTTTGGACATGACCCCATCAGCTATCCCCCTGCTGCTGTGCGGGTGTTCCTACTGGACTTGCTACCTCCATTCTTGACCTTCCTCTCTGTGTCTCAGTGACGTTAGCAAAAAAAGCAGATGCTGTTACATTTTGTTTAAAACGCTCCAAACTTTTTTCTAAGATAGATTTATTTTTATTGCAAAGTCAGATATGTATATGGAGAGGAGGAGAGACAGAGAGGAAGACTTTCCATCCGCTCCGGAGCTGCGCAGATCCAAAGTCAGGAGCCAGGAGCCTCTTCCGGGTCTCACACGCAGGTGCAGGGTCCCAAGGCATTGGGCCGTCCTCAACTGCTTTCCCAGGCCACAAGCAGGGAGCTGGAAGGGAAGTTGGGCTGCTGGGATTAGAACCAGCGCC